AGAGAAAGGGTATGGAGTTGGGCAGGTCAGGAGGACCTGAGAGGAGCTGCAAAAGGTGAAATCATGGTCAGAATATGTATGATTTTTTTTTCAATAAACAAGAAGTAGGGTGTGTTCATCTGTTTTCGTGATTTTTAGAAAACATGTCTCACTTAATTTGCAGTGCAGAGCTGCCTAGTTTTGCAGCCCTGTGACAACAAACAAAACCCTTGGCCTCAAGGTGTTGTTTTGTTTTTGATGGCTGTTTAAAGATACGTGAAGAAATATTGTAGGCTGCTAGGAACGCATATGGAAGGTTCCTTGGTGAGAGGAACTGACAGACCTTGTAGAGCATAAATGTAGCAAGGAGGAAAGCACCCGTCAGGTCTTGACTGGGAGACTTTCTGGAAGGCAGAGGAGAGGCAGAACAGCCTGAGACCTTCAGACTCCAAGCTGTTTACATGGTTTCAGCTCAGTTTCTTAACTTCCCCGAATCTCAGTGGCCTCACCTGCAAGAAGAATGGCACTATCTGGCTGCTAGTTTGGTAGCCGCATCTTTCGGAAACTGTAATATACTCTTCCATTTTTACAGCCGCTTATTCAAAGGTGTGGCTTCAAGGCTTCTGTTTGCCCTCTCCGTGGTCACCCCTCCCCCACCTAAGCCAGGTCTTTCTCCAGGTTCCAGCACAATCTCCGAGGTTTCAATGTCATGTTGAGTGTTTCCACTTAGATGTGCTGTTAATGATTTTATACTTAAGTAGCAGAGACCCAGTAGTTATTTCTTCCCTAAACTGCCTCCTGGTTTTGGAATAGTGGTCCTTTTAAAGCTCTCCCTTCACTTTACAGATGCCCACATTTCAGAGTCACTTTTGTTTTTTTGAGACAGGATTTCTCTGCGAAGCCTTGGCTGTCCTGCACTCACTTTGTAGATCAGGTTGACATCGAATTCACAGCAATCTGCCTGCCTCTGCCTTCCTGAGTGGTGGGATTACAGGCGTGTGCCAATGTAACTGGTACTCAGAGTCACTTTTTAGACTGGTTTGCTTTACCCACTAGGCCAACCCTACTGGGCCAGATAAATATTTTGTTTTGTTTTGTTTTGGAATAATATTGAACCAGAATGACCTTAGAAGCATATACACACTATTATCTGACTATTTAATAAAGATATTCAAATAATAAAAAAAGATTAAATCCCCTATTTAAATTTACAGTTAGGCTACTCAAAACTGGAACCAAAACTCGATCCCAAATATAGTTATTTTCACTGTTGTGTTGTTTTAGATTATATATAATGCATTTTATTATAAGTTTAGTTGCTTGTTACAAATATGATATACAGATCCATGTCTAAAATTTAATAAAAATTTCCAGTCAAGATGACAAAAAAAAAAAAAAAAAAAAAAAAAAAGACTGGTTTGCTTCTGTTCAGTTGTCAAAAACGTCTTTGGTCTGAGCAGAAATGGAAACCCGAGGGTTTATAATAATTGTGTCAGGTTTTCTTTTTCTTTTTTAAAACAGTAACAGGTGTATTTCCTTAATAATAGATTTATTACTTAAAAAACTGAAATTCAGATATTTTTGTTCCCTAGTGTTAACCTCCTAAGTGCTGTGCCTTTGGAGTTATTCCATTTCCAGCATCTGTCCACAACTTCCAAATTAGCCCGTGCATCCCTCTAAAAAACAAAACAACACTCACGAGCAGCATGCTGCACGCAGGCTCTCCAAAGGTCTCCAGCCTGTCTCTCAGTCCTAGCAAGCGCCTGGCCCTCTCCTGACCACTTGCACACACTGATCTTCCTTCTTGCCATGTTCTCTGCCCCATCACACTGGCACCCGCTAGCCCCCTTTGGTAGATCAGGGGTCTTTAGTCTGCTCTACCCTGAGTTAGTCTTTTCTGCCTGGGTAAGAGCTGTGCTTTCTCATTCCTTCAAAGTCATAGACTCATCTTATATATAAATTACATAAATGTGTCATTTGGGAATTGGAGATCTCGAGAGGGATTAAAAATTGTTCCCACACATTTTTATATCAACGAGGAATGAGAAGCTGAAGGACACATAGCTCGCTTCTGGAGTACAGACTAAAAGGGAGCTGGTGTTCACACCGGAAGGCCCTAGGTTTCCAAACAGCTCTTTGAATCCCCAGTTCACTGAGCTCTGTGCAGAACAAATCTTGCTGACGATTTGCTCCTTACAGAGACTAGGCTTGGGGCAGTTGGTAAATGCTTGCTGTACGAGCATGAGGACCTGAGTTCAATCTCCAGGACCTATGTAAAAATGCCACGTGTGCTACTGCACACCTGTAATGCAAGCACCAGGGAGGCAGGGACAGGTGGGTCCCTGGGGCTCACGGGTCAGCTGCCTGCCCCAGTCAGTGAACCCCAGGTTTTAGTGAAAGGCTCTGTTTGGAAGGAGGTGGTGAAGTGTTCCTGAGGGTGGCAGTATCCTCTGTCTCTGTCTCTCTCTGTCTCTCTCTCTCTCTCTCTCTCTCTCACACACACACACACACACACACACACACACACGCACACACGCACACACGCACACACGCACAGACGTGCCTACACAAACACAAATGCTGACGCGCATAGACAAAAATCTAAGTTTTAGAATCACTTGAGATTTGCATTCTAATCCAGTCACTTCATAACTATATGGGTTTTGGTAGGAATGACTGTCTTGTTCTCTCATCTGTGAAATGTTGATGGCTTTTCCACTTTATAAAGTTGTGCTGGTAGAACGGTACATGCATAAAGCAACTGGAATATAGCAAATCTGGGCCAGCATTTAAAATAAAATACTCTAAGCTTTAAACCTGAAGGTTTTGTTTTTTAGGAACTAAGAGGTAATGTTCACATTTTAATGCATGTCTTTTTTTTTTGTTAAGTAAATGCACATGTTACATTTTTAAGTCTTTCCCTCCAGAGTGTTGTAATTATTTGGGTGGTGATCAGCATTACTTAAGGGTCCACCCATTATTTCTTGTATTCGTTCCCTAGGAAAGAACTTACTGCTGAGAACAAAGCGCTTTAGAAAGCGAATGCTTGGAATATTTGGTGCTGCTAAACTGGGTGATAGTTTTTGACACTATGCTGAGCCCATTGTTCTATCTAGGCATAATTCTATGACAATCCTTTAATACACATTTAGAGAACTCTTTCAATGGTTTCTGACAGCTCCCTATCTGGTTTTGCCTCAAGCTATCTATGGCAGGGCAGATGAAGTCACAAAAGCTCTCTGGGAATAAATGAAGGCCTGCCTGACACCACTTCTCAGTCACTGTTGACATGTGTCACCTAAGGGAGTAAGAGTAACGTTTAACATCAAGTAGAAGAAACACACTTGATGGTTTTAAAGCCCTCTACCATTGTGAGACTTTAAAATTCTAGCATGTTTTTTGTTTTGAGAAATGGCCCCATTATATAGGCCAAGTTAACATAGAACTTTGAAGTCCAGGTTAGTCTTGAGCCCCAAACCTCTTGCTCAACCTTTCAAGTTTATAGGAATGAGTTATTAGGGTATGATGCAAACTCCAGAATACTTAAATACTATTAGCTTTCAATAAACACCTATAGGAAACCCTTTTCTATAACACAGTGTCTGCCTGGCTAATCAAACAAGCATGAATCAAAGCAAACACTGGTGTTAAAAACCCGTTTCCTTTTCAAAAGCACACACTAACGAATGAGGAACCACAAGAAAACTTTAGGAAAGATTATCAGTTTAGGGTGTGACAAACATTCCCACAACTGGGTCCACCAGAATTACAGAAGGGGGAATTTCAGGTGAGGGATTTATTTGACCAGCTACTGGGATGGGCAATCCAGGCTGGACCCTCCCAAGCAGACCACGGCTCTCAATTTAAGGGCAACCCTTTGGGGTTCTTTACATGAGGGTCAGACACTTACCTTTTCCTTCCTCTCTCCCCTTCTTCTTCTCTCCCTCTTCTCTCTTTCTCTTGGCGCTTTTTTGTAAGCGACACAGTGAGGTGCAGGACTCTTTACTCTGATGGGATCACTTCAGTCTGTGGCTTTATAAACTGGGTTGCACAGAGACAAACCAAAATCAAGTAATCCTAATTCCCAGTGCTGTCCCCAGAGACATTCAGCTTGTCCTGGGCACAGCTTCCATCTTGGACTTTTTTCTTTTTTCTTTTCTTCTTTTCTTTTCTTTCTTTCTCCTTCCTTCCTTCCCTCCTTCCTTCCTTCCTTCCTTCCTTCCTTCCTTCCTTCCTTCCTTCCTTCCTTCCTTCCTTCCTTTTGTAAATGCTCAGGTGTGATTCCACTGTGTAGATCGCTTTGCATATCACTGGCTACTCTTCACAGCAGGAAACAAATCTTTCTTTTAGGGACTACTACTTATTTCTGAATTTCATTTCATGGCAGGACTAAAATAACCCCAAAGTAGGATTCAAGTAGTGTTCTTGGTACATAATGAGAACCAGCGCTAAGAAGGCGACTTCTCATCAGGACAAGGTCTGACAAAAAGCCCAAGACCTCAATGTGTGGTTTTGAGACAGAGTTCTGGCAGGCTGGCCTTGGCTCCCTTCTTAGCCTACACTTGTTTTCTTGGATCCTATCCTACTTTCCGTTTTGACACATGGTGAGACCTAGGGGATCACACAGTCAGTCACCGGTTGCCACCCTCCCATCTGACAACTTCCAGCTGAAGTCACAGAGGTCTGGGTGTTTCCCCAGGAATTCCACCGCGCCTATTCCTCGCTTTGCCAGACTCCATAGACCGGAGTGCGAGTAGCTCTCTGCTATTCCACAGTGCTGGCGCACCCGCCCCAGGGGAGCGAAAGGCCCTACTTGAGAAGGCACACCCCACCCTCCACCCCCCACCGCCCCGAGGAGACTCCCTGCAGGCCCACCCCACCGCTGGGTCCCGGGTGACGTTAGCATCCCGCGCCCGCCCACGCCCTGGGGGAACGCCCTCTGCATGCGGGCCGCCCCACCCTGGGTGACGGCAGCCCCGCCCCGCCGCAGCCGCTCAATTAACCGCTGCGCGGAACAGCCGCCGCCGCAGTTGGGCAGCTTCTCTTCTGCTCGTGGCCATGAGCCGAGCTCGCGCGCCTGGGACTCGGCCACCACCGCCGCCTCTGCTGCTGCTGCTGCCGCTGCTGCTGTGCCCGACTGTGCGGGGTGAGTGGCCGCGCGCGTGCTCGCCAGGCGCTGGTCCCTAACCCGAGGCTCAGCAGCCCGGTGCCGGTGGCCCGCGGGCGGCGTGGTGGTGGGGTGCTGGGCTGTGCCAGAGGCCGCGGCAGCGCCGAAGGGACGGTCGAGGGCGAATGCCCAACCCTGCTTTCTTAAGGTGGGGCCAGAGGGCTGAGCACCTGCGCCGGGAGAGCTGGGCACGCGGGGCACACTGGGCACGCGGGGCACACGGGGCTTTCTTGCCTATCTTGCGCCTAGCGGCGGTGTTGGCATGGATATTGAGGACATTCCGAACCCGGGGGGTTGGGGGTTAGTCTTGTCTTGTGTTGATGAGAGCCTCGGCGGTGCAAGTTCCTGTAGGACAGGTTCAGCATCGGGGGAAGTGAAGAGCCGCGGCTGCTTCCCCGGAGGTCTGGGGAAAGAGACTTACCGCTTTCTTTCGGCCTCACACGCTCTGCTTTACCTCTGCTCTACCCTCTCTAGGTGACTGCGGCCTTCCTCCAGACATTCCTAACGCCACGCCATCGTTGGAGGGAAAAACCAGTTTCCCCGAGAAAAGCAGCGTGGTGTATACCTGTAACAAAGGCTATCAAGAAATTCCAAACAAGTTGAACACAGCGACCTGTCTTAATGGCAGTTGGTCTAACCTCGAAACATTCTGTAACCGTAAGCTCATTCTTTTTAGAAACGTTACGGGAATGTGTGTATTATTAGGCTACTTCTACCCTTTGGAGTGACTGGTAATTGATAGTTTCTAGCGTTATTAAACCCGAGAGGTTATGTGTTGGCGGTTCACTCTCTAGCTAATTGAAGGCAGTGCTTCCTAGAGCAAACCCTGCTTCTTCATTAACAGTCTTTCTTTCTATTTTCAGGCTAATAGAGAAAAATACATGATCGCTACTGTTTAGGGAGTAAATTATATGTGAATATATTTGGCAATTACCTTGAGACACACACCCAGGTGATCTGTCTTCAACTTCATTTTGTTAAGTAATGGATAGAACTCGAGAGACATTTTGAGATCCTGCTTAAAAAAAAAAAAATCTGGTACATACAGCCCAGTGTTAGCTTTCAGATAGAGTTTTTAGGTGATTCTAGAATATCTGAACACAGTATCGGGTCCAGACCTAGCTGGCGTGTCTGCCCTCCCGGGTTCTATAGTGTAGCCCGGTGCTTGTTCTTTTACTGTAACCTCTACAGTACGTCACTCTATGCTGCTGGCAGTTGTGACATTAGTGGTGGAGGGGGCTCTCAAGGCATTACTGCTTGGCTACGTAGGTTATACATTTTACACCAAGGCTATGCTAATTTAAAAATAAACTAACATTCGCTTACTTTTTATTTGTGTGTATGTTGCTCCAAAACATCAAAACTAAAAACTATGGCATCATGAACACATGAGCTGGCAACATAGACACTTATTACCAAATACTGTCTCCTCTCTGTGATTCTGTGATTCTGGATTGACTGTGGCTACCGCCGCTTAGGTCATTCAAAGGCAGCCGTCAAGTCTTGTCTTCAGTATCTTGTTGTTTCTTCCTTTTTCCTGTACTTTTCAAGTACTATGGTTGCTACCCCAGCACCAGGACAAGTGTGTTCATGAGGGATTGCGTTGGGATGGCTGCAGGGTTGCTAGACAACAGGAAGAGTTCAGCTTCATTACAGACGTACAGGAACCACACTTATCTAGGTGGCCAATCATGGATCAGATATCATTATACAGTATCTGACTGACTACATGAAAGTAAAGACAAAAGTAAGACTTGATTCCCGCCTTTGAATGACCTGAATTGGGGGAAGCTACAGTAAATAAATCCAGAATCATTCTGAAACCACAAGGAAAGTGGGCTTTTACATCTATATTGCCAACCCCACAAAAGGCAAGAAACCCAGAAGCTTCCAGCATAGATTTAGAGTTTGTAATTTTCCACTGTGTTGCTTTATCTAATCTTTCAAGCAGCCCCACGAGTTATGTAAGTGGGGGCTTCCCTCGAACATTTCCCAGCTTGGTGCACACTTCTTGTGCCCAGCTGGTTCATCTGATCCTTGTCTCCAGGGGCTCCTGTGAGGTGAAATGAGTAAGTCTGTGTAAGACTTGTGGAAGTTTTCAGTAAATCCTATTATAATTGACATTTATATGTGAAAACGTCATACCTAGTAACAGAAAAATGAATGTATACACATGAATACACTTGATACACAGCAGATACCACAGTGATATTTTTTAAAATGAATATAAATAAAAATCCTTACAAAACAAATGAGTAAATTGTTAAATGAAAAGGGGTGGTTTAATGACCAGATATTAGCAGATTACACAGGCTATAAAATAAATAAATTGACATTCCTCTTTTTTTTTGTTGTTGTTGCTTTGTTAATTCTTCCAGAAAGCTGTGATGCTCCAACAATGGTTCCTTTTGCATCCCTCAAAAAGATATATATCAGTGTGAATTATTTCCCGATTGGTACCGTTGTGGAGTATGAGTGTCGGCCAGGATATCTCAGAGTTCCTTCACTCTCAGGAAAGTCAACTTGTCTTGCGAATTTAGAATGGTCCAAAATTGATGAAATTTGTAAAAGTGAGTATTATATACAATGATATATACAATGATTCTTCAAAGATCATTGATATACAAAGAATCATATACAATATATAATACATACATTATATACATGATTCAAAGAATCATAATTTATTTTTTTAAAAAATTAATTTATTAATTCTATCTTATGTGCATTAGTGGGAAGGTGTCAGATCCCTTGGAATTGGCATTGCAGACAGTTGTGAGCTGCCATGTGGGTGCTGGGAATTGAACCGGGTCCTTTGGAAGAGCACACAGTGCTGTTAACCCTGCCTCTCCGGCTCCCATGAGTGTTATTTTTAACTAAACGAGTATTTACACAGTAGGAATAGTTAGAAATTTTCCGTTAGTTAATTCCCCTAAAATGACAACACACTGAAGCATGTAAAATTAAAGACATGGAAGGGTTGGAAACATCAGTGGGTCAGAAGACGAATTTGTATATATGTGCCTGATACTTATTTTATTTTCTCCTGATTTCCTAAGATGTAATTAGCAAGTAAGAATCACGAAAATTCAAGGTATACATTATTATGTAATGAATATCTATTTATTACCTGTATGTGTGTGTTTTTCATGCATACACAAATATGCTAATGAGTCGATGTGAATATATATGGACATGTTGTATGTGTTGGGAGGGTTACAGAATATAATCCTGGGTGTCATTCCTTAGGTGCCTTTGACCTAGAACTTCATCTCCTAGATCATACTAATGGTTCTCTTCCTGCCTTCCCCCAGCCTCCAGGGTCTGTCACTGGGGTATAGGTGTGTGTCCCTGTGCCCAGCTGTTTACATGGGTTCTGGTGACCAAAACTCTCTTTTTTTACACCTACAGCAAGCAAGCACTTTATTAACCAAGACATTTTCCAGGTCCACACAACTATTTGTATGTTTGTGTTTATGTGTTCATGCACTTCTATACCTGTGTGTAGAAGGTCAAAGGACAACCTTGGGTGTTATTCTTCAAGCTCTGGTTACCTGAAATTTAGACAGTATTGTCTAATATTAGACAAATCTGTCATTGGCCTGGGATGTCCCATGGAGGCTAGACTGGGTGACCAGTGGAACCCAGGGCTTTGCCTGTCTCTGCTCACCCAGGTCTGGGATGGCAAGAGCTTGTTACCATGCCCAGCTTTTTTATGTGGGTCCTAGGGATGAAGGTCAGGTCCTTTCCCTTGAGTAGAAAGCGCTTTCCCGGCCCAATTTTCTCTCTGCCTGTCTCCCCCATTTATACTTTATTTCTTAAATTAAAATAAAAATGATGTGTTTGTTGGTGTTTTCATACACCACGTCATTTTACTTTGGTCTTCCTCGCTCTCTCCACTCACCACATTCTTGCTGGTCCTGACCCTAGGTCATCTTCCCTTCTGCTCTCATGCTACGTGTAGCCTTCTTTCTTCCCCTATATATGATTACCATCTTAATCCGTTAACTTTCTGTACAGGTAGAGGGTTTGGTTTTTTTTGCTTTTGTGTTTTGTTTTGTCTGATAATTGACCAAAAACAAAAGAAAATTTGATACTCTCTTTTAGAGAAATCATGTCCTAATCCTGGAGACTTGTCAAATGGTCACATCAACATACCTAAGGGCCTGTTATTTGGTTCAAAAATACAATTCTCATGCAACACAGGGTAAGTTTCATCACACTAAAACTCTATACTTAATTAATGGACAAAACAAATTGGGAGTTCAGTGGATACTGATAGATTTGTGACCTGTGGTCACAGGTTGGTGGCATCTGAAACCATCCCTCATAATGAGAGTGGGGGTGAATATGAACAACGCACAATAATATTCATGCATGTAAATGTCAGAATAAAAGCTATTTTATATGCTATTGAAAAGAATTAAAAAGCATAAATACCTCACTCCATGAGCTCATTGTAGTTATACTTAGTAATATGGTCCAGGAAAAGAAGATTTTTAATACTTAAACTTATAACTTCTCTAGATTATTAGATTCCAACAAATGTGACTCTAAATGTGATTAGTGAAAAAACAATTGAAATATAGCAATCCTTAAATAACAATCCTTAAAGTATTAAAAGTCAAACCCATTTTAAACTGACTTAAATATTAATTTGTGTCTGAGATTTTCTGTGTTCAAACAAATGGGCTAAAAATGTCTAGTGTGAAAATGCCTTCCTAACAGAAGATCTTAAGGCTTTTTTATTTAGTTCTTCATGTACTACAACAAAATTCTTTAATTAAGTGCCATCAGCGACTCTCTCCTTACCTGTCCATGTCGAGCACATCCTCCTCCCCCGATTTATAATGGAAAAATAGGTAGTGCTAAGTGGGGTTAGTGGGTTTTACAAGAGCTCACAGAATTGAGAAAGAAGCGTGCATGCGAGAAGGCGAGGGGAGGAGTTGGAAAAGGAAGGAAGTATGGATTTGCTCCAAACAACTTACACTTTAAAGTTCTCAAGAAGTTTTAGCTTTTAAGCTAAATGAAACAAAATGCATTTCAAATTTTAAAACAGAAATAAATAGTAGCACGTTGTTGCTCTTATTAAACAGGGATTCAGTTGGGTTATTAGTGTAAACTCTTGGCCGTGCTGCACTGTGAACTCTTTAGATACAAGTGCACTCCCTTATTCATGAGGCCTGTTCTTTTAGAACTTAGAGGATACGCTTTCATCAAACACATGGTTTTAGAATTCTTTTTATTGATGTATTGTTTCATCCTGCAATTGAGAGAAACAGTTTGCATGTTTGAAAGTCTTGCCATTTCAGTGCCATTTCTGTGAACTAATTTTTTTCTTTTAATTTCCATGTAGATACTTACCAACTGTTATTTTATCTCTATCTTCTGGTGTAGTAAATCTTTTAAAATGAAGTTCTGGAGAATTAAGACAAGACTTAAGTATTTTTGAATATAACAGCTCTTCCTTCTCCTTTAGGTACAAGCTAGTTGGTTCAACCTTTAGCTTCTGTGTTGTTTCGGGCGATTCTGTTAACTGGGACAGAGACATTCCAACGTGTGTAGGTATGTTGCCCCCCCCCCCTTTTTTTTTATAGAAAAAGTAAGTATTCATTGTGGGGCCAAAGGCTCAATGAAATCAATTATTTCTCATTTAAGAACTGTCCATATCTGTATTTGCAGTGCCCCCACTTTTCACTGTGTCTCTATCAATGACAAACGTCTTAATTTATCTGCTATGGGAGGACTGTTGAAGCTGGCTCTGAGCAGTAATATCCTCACTATAAAATAAGTAAGAATTAAGAACCAGCCTTGGTTTACATTCTACTTGGCCTTTTGCTGTCTAACCATTCCTTCTACATTTCTTCTAATAGTGGGAGAAGCAGGGGCTTCCCCTTATTAAGGAACTATCTCAGAGTCTGAATGACTGGCTCCATGTTCTAAAGTAAGTGTCATGGAGAGGCATTTTATACAGGTCTCTTACTGCAAACCTATTCTTTCTCTGAGACCCATGGTTGCATACCTGTCTCCTTTTAGAGTATAGTCATCAGTTGAGATAATTACCTAGATGGTTTTAAGGCATGACATGTTTTTATCATTAGAGTAATAAGGCTGTGTGATAAAGAAGCCATTATTATGCTGGAGAGTTTCCCCTTCTAAAGAGAAAAATATGAGAAATAATATCATAAATAAATATATCCAGTCAAATTTAGGTCTGTTAGAGACATGGCTCCCTTTAAAACTTAAGAGCAGTAAAATGAATGCAGTTTATTTATTTGCTTGAGCCCTGGGCATGGATTCCTAGTCCTCCTGTGTGCTAAGGCCACTCTGTTCCACTAAGCCCCCGACATTTAAAACTGTAGACTTTATTCCTTCCATCTTGGATTTCTGGATACTTAACTTATAACTTCCTCAAATGGCTTCTAAAACCCTAGTGACAAAATTAATGCTAAGTTTACTATTTACTATGTATTTACTGTGTGTGTGTGTGTGTGTGTGTGTGTGTGTGTGTTCACCAGGAGAAAAGTTGTGAAGTCAGTACTTGACACTCTGATAGGCAAAGTGTGCAATCAGGTGATACTAGACAACTGATAAAAAGCCTGCTGTCAGCTCCCTCGTATCACATCCATCCTGCCCACCCTGCTGGGCCCACCCTTTCTGTTCTCTCCTTAGGGCCAGTCAAAAGTTTTTATCATTTCTTCTCAGTACCACGATTCTGTTCCCACTCCTAGTAAATGACCCTGTAAAGACACTAGGAGGTGAAGCAAAAGGGGGTGCCGGGACACTGTTTGTTGGCACAGGCAGCCTGGCCTAAAGCCTGGGGAGGCGGTTTTCTGTGTGTGAAGCCAGTATTTTCTCCAGCAGATGCTGCCCTTGGGTTCACAGAAATGTGTCCACTAGGAATGTATCCTAGTGAGGAAGCTTTGCACCAGGCCTACTTCCTGTCTGTGCTTTCTTTTCACTCTTTATGGTGAACACCCTGTTTTCTTGGCTCTCGGCCACCTCTCCAGCAGCACTGCTGATAACCACATTTCTTTTTGTTTTTATTAGTTACATTTTATTAACTCTGTATCCCAGCTGTAGCGTCCTCCTTCATTCCCTCCCAATCCCACCCTCCCCCGCTCATCTCCTCCCTGCCGTTTTCCAAGTCCACTGATAGGGGAGGACCTCCTCCCCTTTCAAGTGACCCTGTTTTATCAGGGTCTTGAGGACTGGCTGCAAAGTCCTCCTCTGTGGCCTAACAGACTGCTCCTCCCAGTGTATCAAAGCAGACACTAAGACTCATAACCAAACCTTCAGCAGAGTGCAGGGAATCATATGAGAGAAGGGGAGTTAGTATGACGTGGAGAGGATAGGAGCTCCACAAGGATCAAATATATCTGAGCCCAGGGGTCTTTTATGAGACTGTATCTCCAACCAAGGACCATGCATGGATATAACCTAGAACCTCCGCTCAGATGTAGCCCGTGGTAGCTCAGTGTCCAAGTGAGTACCAAATAAGGAGAACAGGGACTGTTTCTGACATGAACTCAATGGCTGGCTCTTTGATAACCACGTTTCTTTGGAAAGTCTCTTGTACCTGAGTGCTGCAGCATTATTACTGCTATTCCTGTAATCCCAGCTGGGAGTGAGTGTCTATTTTCATTGCCACATGAAATTGTATTGGTTTTGAGATCCCTAAAACAAAAAGTGGAAGGTGCATTCTCCCCTACCCACATTATATTTTCATTAGCTATTAGTTACATTTTATTAACTCTGTATCCCAGCTGTAGCGTCCTCCTTCATTCTCTCCCAATCCCACCCTCCCCCCCATCTCCTCCCTGCCGCTTTCCAAGTCCACTGATAGGGGAGGACCTCCTTCCCTTTCATATGACCCAGGTATCTTGAGGACTGGTGACCACACCCGGTCACACTCACCTCCCATTCCCCCCAGATTCACCTTCCCACCCTATAACCCCCCCACTTAAAAAACAAAAACAACCCACCGAGTCCAGTTTGTGTTGCCCTTATACCAATTGGAGCATGTCAAACTCCCAGGGACTAGCCCTTACAGAGTCCACTGAGGGTGAAGGGAATTCACAGGGGACAGGAAGTGAACTGTCAAGTAGTGAGCGGCCTTGGTGTGTGGGTGAGTAGGGGTGTCCTAGTCTCTAGTGTGGCTGCGATTACAGAGGAGAATGACTAAGGAGGCTCGATGAGCACTTTTGGGGGTTGTCTTTAGTTACACACCAGTGATGGTGGCTCTTGACCTCTGAATTAGCCCTCACTGTCCTGAGACCCCGCTTTTTCCTATCTTTCTGTTCTTTTTTTTTTTTTTTATTGGTTCAGAGATGGCCACGTCTATTTTATTTATTTAAGTTTATTTTTTTGAGATAGGATTTCCTTGTGTAGCCTTGGCTATCCTGTTTTGTAGACCAGGCTTGAACTCAGAGATCCGCCTGCCTCTGCCTCCTAAGTGCTGGGGTTACAAGCATACGCCACCATGCATGGCTATTTTTAAAATTAATTTCAGCTGATGATGGTACCTGCTCACCTTTAATCAGTGCTTTTCTTCTGTCATTACCTCCTCAGACCCCTCTGTTTTAGCATCTAATCTGTACGTGTCTTTACTATTTTACTTCCATATACTTTTAGATTAAAAAAAAAAAAAGCATCTGACTTGTATCTGTGTAGGAACCTCAGTTGGCAGAATTCCAGGATGAGAGAGAATGCCTTTTCCTTGTGCCTCATTGCTATTTCATTCATAGTCTGCCCAGGGCGATGCTTCAGAAACATAGATATGACGTGTCTTCCTTCTTCAAGGAATGTCTGAACACTTAAACTGCCAGGGGTGTTCCAGGCCGATATAGCTCTCTGTTACATGTAGAAAACACTTAGCTTTTGCCTTCCTACTTACCAGCATGCACACAAGCTGCCAGCATGCTGCCATATTCTCTTTATTATATGTCCATTTGTTTAAGATTTTTAAAATTTTTGTTGAGTCAGGATTTAACTCTGTAGCACAAGCTAGTCTCAAACTTGTGGCAACAATCATCTTGTTCCAACCTCCTAAATTCTGGGCTTATAGTCATGAGCCAGCAGGCAGAGCTATCTCGTGATCTCTCTCTCTTGTCTGCATGTGTGTACGAGGTTAACAGTTGTGTGTATGTGGTGTTTACTTGCGCACACACATGCATGTGTGGCACCAAGATGAGTTCATGTGCCACCCTTCAGGGATTGTTAGCTTTGGATTTTGGAGACAGTGTCTAAAGTGAGGTGGGCTGCTTGATTTGAGTCAAGCTGGCTGTGCGGCAGCCTTGGGGGTCTGCCTGTCTGTTAGCTCCCCATGTCCCCAGGTGCACACCACCAAGCCCTACATTTTTATGAATGTTTTGGGGAATGCTGGCACAGCAAGTACTGTCCTGCCCAAGCTGTCGCCCAGCCCCTAACTCATGGTCTTGATACCTCAACACTTTTTTCTATAGCTGGATTGGCCTAGAAGGTCCTTCCCTGCTTGGCTGTGTTTTCGCCATCAAGAGTCACTCCCCTGAGTCTTTCAGGAGGATTTCCCAGACTGGTTAATGTCCTTTGCTGCTGTGGCAGCCTTCACATTGTGCTGACACACACCTCCAGTCTCTTACCATAGATTCTAAGACCGGGAGGCGTTCCTCGCTCGGCTATCTTTTATTTATTTATTATTACTGCTTCTCATAGAACAACGCTTATGTGTTGGTTGCACAGACTGTTTGCACTGGACAAGTCCTTGCTTCGTTTAAAATCTATCATGAATTTGCCAGTATTCTATGCCTGCTCATGTTCATTTGAGTCAGCTTAATTTGGTGTGCATATGTCATTTTATTGTTTACTTGATTAACTTGATGGTGCTGAAGCACACACCGTTGATGTTGCTATTAGGATAGCTGTAGAAGGAGATCTCCTTTATAGTATAACCATCACAATGCGCCTTGCACTTTTTTTTTTTTTTAAGCTGTTTGGTAAGTTCTGTCCTGTTTAAGGTTTCAGTGAGTCAGTCTCTCCTAAAACACCTTCCCCTAGAGGTGAAAATGTAGACCATATGCCATGACCCAGAAGTTGAGAACCTCTGTAGTAGGCATTTGTTATTGTCAAACTACAGTGGCTGAACTCAGAAAAATGGTTGATTTGAATTGTCTTAAACATTTGTTAACAAGTTTCAGTCTTATTTATAAAAATGCAATATTGGTTTTTCCTCATTTAAAAATACTTTTTATTCTTTTAAAAGAAATTTTTTGTCCAGACCCACCAAAGATCAGCAACGGAGAAATACATGGGGAAAGTGATTCCTATGTTTACAGACAGGTCGTCACCTACACATGTGCCAAAGGCTTCCTCCTGGTTGGGGAGCATTCCATTTACTGCAATGTGAACCAGGGCTACGGGGAGTGGAGCGGCCCTCCGCCAAGCTGCTTAGGTAATCGCTTGTGTCCCTCCTTGACCACACATGGTCTCATCTAGAATAGGTTTATGCATATTGGACCGTTTAAATCGCTTTTAAGACAAATAAATTCCTGCATCATTTAACTCACCAATCGAATGAGAAGATTCCCTGGTAAAAGATGACAATGTAAACTTGGAGTTGGTGGTGCACGCTTTCAGTCCCAGCAACTTGGGACGCAGAGGCAGGAGGAGTTTGAGGCCAGCCTGGTCTACACAGTGATTTCCAGGACAGCCAGGTTTACACAGAGAAACCCTGTCTCAACAAACAAACAAACAAACAAACAAGCAAACAAGATAGCATGTGTCTTTCCTCAAAATGTATCAGGATTCAGCACCATGTACTCTCTGAGACAGACTTGTAACTCTCTGACTTTTATCAGACACTGGACAGGCTCCTCAGGTGGGCCTTGTCCCGTTTTCAGCCACTTTCAGTGTTCTTGCTGTCTCTAGTGGAGCGTGGAGGTAAAGGACCACCTAGAGTACGAGGTCAGTCACTCACCTGGGTGTTGCCTTTGCCGCCAGCAGCTGACCAGGAGCCAAGCTGCCTAGCTCATCAAGCCCAGGAGGATTAAGAACGCATGGAATCTGGGCAGTGGTGGCTAACACCTTTATCCCAGCAGTTGGAAGGCAGAGGCAGGTGGGTCTCTGAGCAGTCGAGGCCAACATGGTCTACAAAGAGAGTTCCAGGACAGCCAGAACTACCCTGAGAGATACCCTGTCTCAATAAATAAATAAATAAATTAAATTAAATAAAGGTTGCATGGCTGTCTGTAGCAGAGTAGGATAGCTTTGGGAAATCAGAGTGACTTCGGCCTTTTGTCCTAGCACCTGTGCTTTGTTGCCTTTGTCATACTACCTAGAGTGATGCTGAACCACAGCCTGAGTGCAAATATGGCCTGATGCTCACTCTGAAGTTTGTGTATAAAGAACTGAATTCTTTTTGGTGTAACCGAGACACTGCAAACAAGGTCATGGCTTTGTTGTTTGGTCAACAGAACCCTTAGACATGTTACCACAGAGGGTGTTTGCTTTGCATGCCACCTGCTTCTGGTCTCCTGTTCAGTAAATTAATATTAGTTCCAAAAAGAAATTGGACAGAAAAAAAGGTCAATTTACAGTCATAGTCGGGGAATTCTACAGACCTCTTCCCACCAAGGAGAAAAAGGAAACAAATCATGAGATTAGAAGTGAGTTGAGCAACAGTGCTAACAGTTAAGCCGGTTTCCACATAGGGACTTGAACCGCTTAGGGCAGCTGATCAGTCCTTGCTGCGTCACGTTTACCAACGCTGGCGTCTCCTGGCCTCCACCCTTGGTGCCTTTCTTCACAGCATTCTTTCTGGCCACAGTGGGGTTAGAGTAGGCATCAGTGATGAAAAGGCAATTAGGAAATTGTCAGGAAATTTAAACTCAGTGGGAGCATGCAAACCCTTTGGATTTAAAACAAGAACTAAGTGGGACAGAGAATAAGTTTTGTGTATGTTTGAGGGCCTTAAAACGAACAGCCTCTATAGTAACATCACTTACTCCAGCCACTCTGGCATTGCTTGACTGCCTGGCAGGTATTTTGAATTGTCCCTTATAAGTAGCCTGTGACATAGATTTTTTTTTAAGCAAGGAAAAAAAAATACATATAGCGTCTGAACACTTAGAACATGGTGTCTAGTAGGCAGGGCGTTATGGGTGGACATATTCATCATGGTAGTTACACATGGACAGGCCTTGTGTAGTGCGACTTACTTAAACCATTGTGCACAATGATGGCATGTGGTCTGCACTGGGATTTTTGTTACACACACACACACACACACACACACACACACACACACACACACACACTTATGCAACCTGAGGGGGTAGTCTGATGTTTCAGAGAGAATACACAAAGTGTAATGATCTAATTAGCTTGCCCTGTTTGCATCCTCAGTTTTCCAATGAGGAAAACAAATCTTAGAAGGGCCAGAGATTTGATGCAGTTACTTAGGGCTGCCTGAAAGGGGTTTTTGTAAAGTACCCCAAAGGCGACCAGCAAGGAATAAGTCTGCAGACTCAGTAACCTATGCTGAAGACGAGGGACAAAGTAACTGCTGTACTTGTCTTCATATAAAAACATTCTTTGGTCTTGGTGTGAATAGAGGAAGAAAATTTTGAAGACAAAATAGAGAGACTTGTCACATAATGAAATGTTATTCTGACTTTTGTCTTTACACAGAAAAAAAGCTTAAGAATTGCAATATTATATTGGTATAAGACTACTTTAGTCACGTATGGATATAATTAATAGCAAAGCAAAAATGATGTAGCTTCTCTTACATACATGTGTGATTATATGTAACTATATAAAATCCAGGATCCACTAATGAAAGAAGACATGCAATATTCATCTTTCAAAGACTAATTTATTTTACCTGGTATAGTGGTTTTCAGTTGTCTTGTGAGAAATGAGACTGCCTGGGGGAATGGATAGGAGTAATGGAACAGAGAGAGGGAGGCTGGTAAGTATTGTGAAAACACGTGATATATCTGTAGGACATACACTCACTGCTGAGAACAGTCAAGATGCACTAATAAAAATGGTGCAGTAGAGGAAGGGACATGAGGACTGGCTTTCTAAAAGCCCTGTCTAGGTGTTTGTGGGGAGAGAAAGAAAAGAGTCATTGAGCACATAATGGCTAGGGAAGCTTTACTCAGTCAGCAAGACTTAGCTGCTTTTAACTTAACTTTGTTTTCTTTATAGAGAAATCCACGATACCAACAACACCTCCGAAACCAACAACAGTTCATATTGCAGGTACAACAGTCCTATCAACGTCCAAGAGGCCCACCACAGGTACAAGAGTCTCACCAATGTCTCCCACCACAGTTCATGTTCCACCTACAGCAGTCTCACCAAAACCTCAGAAATCCACCAAAGCAAATATTCCATCTACAGCAGCCCCACCAACACCTCAGAGACCCAGCATAACAGATGTCCCAGCTTCAGAAATCCTAGTAACACCTCAGAAAACCAACACAGCAGATGACCCAAGTATAGACATTTCACCAGTACCTCTGAAACCCAACACAACCGGTGACCCAGCTACCGAAATCCCACGAACACCTCAGAAAACTAATACAACAAATGTTCCAGCTTCAGAAATCCCACCAACACCTCAGAAAACCAACACAGCCGATGACCCAGCTACAGAAATCCCACCAACACCTCAGAAAACTAATAAAACAGATGTCCCAGCCACAGAAGACCCAACATCTCAGAAAACTAATACAACAAACATCCCAGCTTCAGAAATCCAACCAACATCTCAAAAAACCAACACAGCAGATAACCCAGCTGCAGAAGACCCACCAACACCTCAGAAAACTAATACAACAAATGTCCAAGCTTCAGAAATTCCACCAACTCCACAGAAATCTATCACGGCAAAGAGTTCAACCACAAAAACAGTGACAGCTCAGATATCCCCTTTATCAAATACTGTATCTGCAAAAAACCCACCAATAACCCAGAGTTCCACCACAGTTAACTCCCCTGCCGTACAGACTACACTAACAACCCAGAGATTTGCCACAGCAAAACCTTCATTTACCCAGAGTCTGCCAGCAACACAAAGGCGCCCCATCTCACACTTGTCAGTGACCAAGGGTGCCCAGATTGTCACACAAAGGTTCACTTCTGCTCATCTTACAGCAACGCCTTATGTACCTGCTACCAAGACAACAGTGCAACGTCCAACAAGAACATCTAAAGTCAATGAAAAGTCTACCTCAGGTCAGTTGATTTTGTTCAGTTAAGGTTTCCTGTCTGCGGGTCTGGTGTTTTATGATGGAAACGCGGGTCAGCAGTCTCCAGCTAATTATGACTACAGTGTTCTATAGTCCTGCTTTGACTTCCATTGTGCAGTAGGACAAATAATATGCTGATAAGGTAATTTCGCATTCTGTTAGGGTCTGTGGAAAGGGACTTCAGTTTCTGGTAGCTTTCGTTTTTGAGATATGTAGTCCAGATATGTACTCATTATGTAGTCCAGGCTCACCTTGACCTCTTGATAACCCACTGCCTCAGCTTCCCAAGTGCTGGATTACAGGCCTGTGCCTTCGTTCTTGGTCCGATAGTTTTTGATTGTAGAATATATCATTTGTTTTCTGTTTAGGCTTTTCAAAGTTATTTCTTGTCACATCGAGTCATGTAACTATATATAATGTTTGCTTTGGTGTTCTAGAACTGTCATGGCTTATGTCAACATTGGTAACGCTGTCCAACAGAAAAAATATTGGTGTTGATGCTGCTGAAGTAAATAATATATAATTGTGTTCAAATAGAGAATATTTGAATATATATTATACATAATATATATACAAATTAGCTTTTTTTTTACTTGTGGAAGTTGCGTTGGTTTTGAGGTCTCATATATAGTTGATTAGTATATATTTAGTTGTTAACAAAGTAGTGAAAAGTTTAAAATGATTAGTTTTATAATTCTTTTCTCCACCCCCTTTATTTTTTAGGTGGTGACCATCTTATATATGGTAAGTTTGACTCACAGGGTGTTAAAAGAAATTGCCATCACTGTGGGAAGCATAGTCCGTATTTCTGGAAAAGAATATTGTCTTTTAATTGTCTTAGGAAAACTATCAAAATGCAGTGTTTGTGGGCACCTCAGGGCAGACGGGTAAATGCTTTTGATCGGATTGTTTCGTGGACCCCGTTAGGTACCCAGTATGCGCCTTCATATTCTCAGCAGTGTTCTTGCTCTAAGGTGATCTTAGGACGGCTTCGGGTCATTTGGCCAATCGGTCAGGTAGCATTGAGTGCCCGCTGTGTCAGTATGTTGTCTTAGGGACAGAAGAAGCACAAAAACAACTGTCAATACAGTTGTTATCCAAAGAACTTTGAGAGTAACCAACCCTCTGACCATTTTTAGATCTTATCGTCATCTCTTTCGTCCATCTCTAGTAACAGTTTTAAGCAAAGGTTTCTTAAAATATATTCTCTTGATGCTAATGTATCAGTGAAGCCAAAAACACAGTGTTGCAATTCTTTCTAATATCTGGTCAGTGTTTTTCTTTGTACATTATTACTTACTGTCATTTATATTATATTACATTATTATTTACTGTTACTTATTAATAAAGTCAACAAACCCCTGAACAAAATGTTAAGAGAAAGTGTTAAGTAACAAAATAGCAAAGTAGCATACCAAAGTAATGGCAATTGAAAATGCCCCTCGTGAAAAGATGCTTATTTAAAAATTATGTGTATCAGTGACCTCGCCGGCTTCATACATGAATGTGTTAACTAAGGGACATGAATCTGAAACTTTGGATATTTAGTTTCTGTTGTTACTTTTACTAGTATTTGTCATATTTAGTTTATGTTTAAGCTAAAGATTTACCTAGAAATACCCCAGCAGGTGGAATTGCTTTTGTTAATCTTATATTTTAAATAGAAATAAATATATTCTAAGCTAATGAAAAAATCTCCTGATTCAATATTTGCAATATGGTGACTTTGATGCCTGAGTTTCTGTTAACTTACTCAGTGGTATTTAGTGGAGAGTTGAGATACTTGTAACTTAGTATTTTAAATTTTTGTAATTCAGGCCTTGTCCAGACACAAGCTTGTCAGACACAGGCTCTTCTAATGAATTCACCCCTCTTTTCTTGTTTACTTCTGAAGCTCTTCACGTTTGTATACTTCTTTTCCAGGAAACTTTCTTTAGGGTTTATTGAAATTTCTATGTTCTGACAGCTTTTTCCATAGCCAGACATATGGTAAAAGTGTTATTTCTTAAATTTATTGTTATCTCACTTCAAAGATGAGACCTGCCTGCATTGTAGGGAAAATGTTTATTTGTTCATTGTATTTTTCTTTATAGACAGCTGGGAGTGTTTTAATTTAACTCTTTAGTGAATACACAAAGAAGTAAGTGTCCTTGTGGATTTTTTATGCATATATATGTGTATTATATATATATTTATTTCTTATATATATATATATTATACTTTGTTCTTATTCAGCCCCCATTGTTCTCTCTTTTGTCGATTATATGATACTAGACATTTGCAGTTTTCCCATTTAATTCCTCTAAGAGAATGTAGAAACTATGAGGTCTTCTTAATTTGCATTACAAATGCCACTCTCTTGGACTTAAAGGTTCTCACACTGGCTCTGTGTAGGTCAGTTCCCCACCCCCTCTTCACTTTTGTCTTCCTTCTGTCAAGAATCTGTTTAAGCATTTTTTTCATGTGGAGTGATTAATCAGTTTATGTTCTCTATATGCCTGTACTCTTTACATATATAAAAATAATCTTTTTGCCCTCTTGGAGCTCCTTTTTGACAATATGAGGTCAACATAGTCTAAAGGTTTTTTAGATCAGTGTCATCTAGAGAAAAAGAAAAAAAGCAACAACTCGTGCTTAGGAATTAGTCAAACTTTGGTTTCAGCGTGGATTTTTAATTTAGTAAATATTTTACTCAGCAATCAAGTTAATGTCTCTGGGTCCCTGTTTTCTCTATGAGACAGATCCTCCATAAGCTCATATGTGATAAAGGATATGAACAATCCTAGCCTAGTAATAAGAAATGAATGTATAAGACAGGAGGAAGTCACAGTTTGCAATCACCATTCTTTTTCTGAGATAGATTTGTGCAAATATTATCACTCCCTCTGGCTGCATTGAAGAATAAGCACCATGTTTTTATTCAGGTAATTTTTGTATGTTTATTGTTACTGTGTAGCAAGTGCTGCTATATTGAAAGTTGCTACATGCATTATTATTTTTAACCTTTCAACAGTGCTGGAAAGCAGCATGCATACTCCTTTTTTAAGCTGAAATGTTTTTCTTATAATATTTTCATTTATTTTTCTGAGATTTTCATACATGCGTGCAGTGGATTTTGATTTATATCCACTCCCAGTTTTCCCCTCCAGTCATCTCCCCAACTTCCCTAGCATGCCTATCATTCCTTCCCAACCTGATGTTCTCTCTTTTTACATTTATTTACTGATTCTCAGAGTTCAATGTGCAGATGCATGTGGGCTCACCTTCTGGAGCATTGTTTGCCTGGCTGTGGCCACACCCACAGAGAAAGATGAGTCTCTTATTGACAAATGTGGTTTACAGGATTTGCTTCTTTCTTTCTTTCTTTCTTTCTTTCTTTCTTTCTTTCTTTCTTTCTTTCTTTCTTTCTTTCTTTCTTTCTTTCTTCCTTCCTTCCTTCCTTCCTTCCTTCCTTCCTTCCTTCCTTCCTTCCTTCCTTCCTTCTTTCTTTCTTTCTTTCTTTCTTTCTTTCTTTCTTTTTTTCTGAGACAGGTTCCTTTGTGGAGCGTTAGCTGTCCTGGACTTGCTTGGTAGACCAGGCTGGCCTCGAACTCACAGAGATCCACCTGCCTCTGCCTCCTGAGTGCTGGGATCACAGGCGTGCGTTTCCACACCCAGCTATGGTTTACAGGAGTTGTAACTTGCCCAGGGTTTCAAAGCTAAACAGGAAGGAAGTAGAGGTCAGTGACTAGGCACTTGAAGGTATTGACTCTCATCTTACTGATAGGACAAGAGACTGTATACTTAGACAAAGTACCTGGATTTTCTACTGATGTTGCTTCATCCTTAGTCCCCAGTGCTGAAATCCTGTGTTGTAACTGTTAGGATTGTGCAGCAAAGTTACATGGCGGGTTCACAAATCTCGCCACAAGACTGGTTCCACGTGGGAGTTTTATTAAGGGAAGGGGTCACAGAGACTGTCCCTGGGCAGGTCAGGAGAGGGAGATTAGAGGTAGTTTGAGTTCTCTTATAAGGTGATCCAGAGCATACACAGGTGGTTTCAGGTGATCCATGGGTGGTCCATAGACTTCCTCACAGATGCCTGATATCTGGTTTCTCAGGACTCTTGGGGCTTATTGTAGAGATGTCTGCTTACGGATCCCAACAATAACACTCATACATCTTACGAAGATTGAGAGATCAACCGATGTAATATGAAATTTAGAAAATATTTATTGAAACACATTATCCTGTGTGTTCATTACCATTATCTTGAGTGTGGAATGCACTACAGTTTAGCTGAAACTCAAGTGTGCCTGCAATAGTCTTGAATCTCATGTATTAGTATCTGAATGAAAGATGCTGATTTGACGATTGTCACTGTCATCTGATGTCCTGACACATGACTTACTTAAAGTCTACTATAGGATGGCCACAGCTATCTGACTGTTATTCATTGTGTTTCCCCCAGTTCTCTCAGGCCTTAATATCAAAGCACTGAGATGTTTTAAAATATCTTATTTGTTTTTCCTCCCAAGGAGACAAGTGAGCGAGCGTCATTCACTATTTATTGCTGAGTCTCACATGCGAAATGCAGTTTGTTCCTCCTGTTTGTTTTGTGAACTTGCCTTCTAATTGTTAACTGTACTATCCTTGTGAAACTACAGTGTGTGTAGTTGCTGTGCTGGCGCACCACCAGGCTTCCCCGCTCGAGGACTGGCTGCTGCTGATAGAGTAATTGGCATCCCAGTGCTGGTCACTTTTCTGGAACTACCTTTTGTTTTTGTGTTTTCAGACAGGGTTTCTCGGTGTGTAGCCCTGGCTGTCCTAGACTCACTCTGTAGGCCAGGCTGGCCTCGAACTCACAGAGCTCTGCCTGCCTCTGCCTCTCAGAGAGCTAGGATCACAGGCGTGCACCACCACTCCCAGTGAGCAAAAATTTTGATGATTTTAAAAACTTCTTTTTTTTTTTTTTCCAGTAAGATTTTCATTTTGTGGGTCTGGAGAGATGGCTCTGAGGTTAAGTGCACTGGCTGCTTTTCCAAAGGTCCTGAGTTCAGTTCCCAGCAACCACATGGTGGCCACAACCATCTAAGATGATGGTGCCCTCTTCTGGAGTGCAGGTGTACATGCAGGCAGAACATCGTATACATAATAAATAAAGGAATAAATCTTTAAAAAAGATTTTAATATTGTGTTAGTAAATCACTCTCAGCTTTATTCCCCTTTTAGGATGTTTTAGAATGCTGTCTCATTCCCTCTGTAGTTACTACTCTAAAGGGATAGCCCCCCATTTAAGGATAGTAAACCATATTTCAAGGAAAAATGATATTAAGGTCAAAGTTCCTCTTCACGATATATGAGTGATTTACTCTTTTTTTTATTGAATTTAATATATGGTAATATTGTAGAGAAGCAAATAAATCCAGGAAAAGCTGGTACTTAATAGCTCTAAATCGCCTGTAGTTAAGCAGTTTTCCATATCTTGTATGGACATGAAGCTAAGCCAACCAGGCCAGTTCTGAATTCTGGCTGCCTGCTTGAATTCTAAGTGTCGTGTTTGCAGGCTGTGGCTTGGAGTAGTTCGACTTCTTTAAGATGGTAAAAGACCAAACTACCTGATGGGCTTTGAGTGAGGCTCAAATGTCACCTGTAAAGAGAGTAAAACGTTATGTAGCATAAGGCAAACATCCACATGTTAGCAGCAGATGAAAAGTCTTGTTTGAAATAGCTGATGTGCTTTGAGTGTACATGCTGAGTATAAATGTCGTGGTTGGCTCTCATATCCTGTGGGCAAGTGGGTGATGTAAATTGATCTTACTTTATTTTGAAGGTTTAACTACTAAGAAATCAAACTGTGTACACTTGAGTTACTTCAAAACTGAATTAAGCCTTACTTATTTTAGTCAATTAATTAATTAGAACAACTACTTTTTGTTGCTATTACTAGTTTGCCCATTTTAATGGTTAACTCATTATTTTTTTTACCCTCTATCGGCCTTTTTCCCTCTGTTAAACTAGCAACAGTGTTTTAAGTGTGTGTCCTTCTTTCTTTTGTTTTACATGTGTGTGCATGTATGTCAGTACCCCGAGTGTGTGCAGTGTGCACAGACCAGAAGAGGGCATAAGATTCCCTGGGACTAGAGTTGCGAATAGTTGTGAACTGCCTTTGCTGGGAATTAAACCCAGGTCCTCTGGAGAAGATGCTAGTTGTCTGCCTGCTGAGCAATCCCCAGCCTGTCCACACTTCATTAAAGGCTTGTAGTTTCTGATTGGTCTGTGATTACTATACAGTTTCATAGAAAGAACTTAGATACCTGTGGAGTTTAGAATCCATCAGGGTGTCCTGGAACCAGTCTTCCCATTCCTTAGCAGATAGCAAGAGATGGCTGCATTTATTTGTTTGTTTGAGACAGGATTTCTTTGTGTGACCTTGTCTGTCCTGGACTCATTTTGTAGACCAGGCTAGTCTTGAACTCAGCGATCTGCCTGCCTCTGCTTCCCTGAGTGCTGGGATTACAGGTGTGAGCCACCATACCCATCAGCATGGCTGCTTTTGAAGAAGTGGTATCTTTTATTCTTCAAAAATAGTGTATATAAAGTACATGAATATTATTTAAACCGCTGAAGTATTCATTCTTTTGTTTAAAAAAAAATCTAATCATTGGGTGAGCTGAGCAAGGTAAATAGTTTTTACAGGAATTTGTTTAAAACCTGTTAAATATTCTGGGTTCTGCAATAGCAAATGCAGTAAGACATAACTTTCACAGAACATTTGAGACTGTGATTCAGAGCATATAGTAAAAATGATCATAGGATAAGTAAAACTGGTGCAGATACGTCAACCAAAACACTCTGAAAAGGAGAGTAACTCCACCCTCTGTGTCCTACATGCATTTGTCGCAGCTTTCTTTTTTTATTGTTGCCAGTTAATCTAATCACAAATCACCCCTCTGCAGAGGGGAGCAGCTTACCCTGGTGCTGTGAGGCACTCCTGGTTTCCGCAGTTTCTACGCACACTTCCGTAGTCATTTGCCGTCAGGTTTCTGGTAGGCTGGAAGTGCGGAAACATTTAGGGAGTACCTGTGCTAAATTATCTTCTGATGTTCCGCACCAAGGCTACTCACAGAGAGGAACTTAGGCAAGCCTCCAGCAGTGGCGCCTTTTACATGCCCACTGAAGCCGTTAGCTTCTGATGTTCCGCACCAAGGCTACTCACAGAGAGGAACTTAGGCAAGCCTCCAGCAGTGGCGCCTTTTACACGCCCACTGAAGCCCTTAGCTACATGGTCAGGTGTGCTGACAAACTGGTAATTGTAATCTTGGCACTAGGGTGCCTGAGGGAAGAGAATCATGATTTGGGGCCAGCCTAGGCTACAGAGTAAGGGCCAGTCACAACAGAACAAAAGAAAACAAAAGTACCCGAATATTAAAAGCAAACCAGTAAAGTAACCAATGAATCCACTTTCTTTATTTCAGAAGTATAAGCGGTGGAGGGGAAGCTCTGACTTTATATGAGGGCCTTGTTTAATGCAGTTAAGGAATGAGGGGATTACATAGCTCCCTCCAGCCATCTTGTGTCCATCAGAAGGCTCATCTAGCTTCCTAGAAGTGTTTTTTATAGAGTAAGTTTGTGTTTAGGCAGTAGAAGCAGATTCTTGGCTTTGTTATTTAATTGAAATTAAAGTCACATCATCATTAGTGTTTTGGTCTTTACTGTCCCGTGCTTATAATACGTACATGAACACATTAACCCACTGCCAGGTTCATAAGTTAGGTGTGACACGATACCTTTGAAATTCTGATTAGTTAATTATGAAAGACATGGATGGTTTAATAATACCACATTTCTGTGTCTTACAAAATGTCTATTGGGTGGGGGGGCTGGAGAGGTGGCTCAGAGGTTAAGGGCACTGTCTGCTCTTCCAGAGATCCTGAGTTCAGTTCCCACCAACCATCTATATTGGGATCTGATGCTCTCTTCTGGCATGCAGGTATACATGCAGATAGGATACTAATATATGTAAAATAAATATAAATATATTTTAAAAAAGCCCCAAATGTCTATCAGGACAGTTGGCTTATAGTTTCTGCAGATAGATCTAAAGTTTCAATTATTGCTGGAGTTGTTTGTTGAACTTATTATTGGTTGGATGAATAAATGATTTTCCTGTTACTGTGATATACATTGTTATTTACTTTTTAAAAGTTTATTGTTTGAGAATGTTATAAAGGAGTATGTTTGGAAAGGCTTATTTATTTATCTTTGTTTTGTATGTATGAATGTCCTACCTGCATGTGTGTATCTGCACCACCTTCATGCAATGTCCCTATGGGCCGTAGGAGCCAGCAGAGTCCCTGGAGCTCTAGTCACAGACAGCTGTGGGCTGCTGTGTGTAGGGTGCTGGGAATTGAACCCCAGTCATCTGGAAGAACAGGCAATGCTCTCCATCATGGAGCCATCTCTTTAGCCCATGAGTATATTTTGATAAATGTCCCTCCTCCCTCCCTTCCAGCTCCTCTCAGGCCCATACTGCCACTTTCCCTCCATGTTTCCTAGACTCTTAGAAACCCACGGAGTCCCTCAGTGCTGCCCATCTGTGTGTGGGCCTATGAGAGCGGTGACTCTCCCTCTGCCAGTTGCCAGGAGTTTCTCAGGGAGGCCCTCCCCAGTCCACACTGGAGTTCTCACCTGACTCCGTGCAGGTCTTGTGAATGGCTGCTGTGAGTCCTTATGTGTAACAGCGCTGTCATGATTAGAAAACATAGCTTCACAAGCTTTCTCCACTACCCCCTGGCTCTTACAATCTTACAACTGCATCTTCTAAGATGGTATGTGGCCTTAGAGGAAGGGCTGTGCTAAAGATAACTGTTTTCCCTTCTCATCTGCACTTTAACCAGTTGTGAGTCAGTATTAATCAGCATCTAGTGCAAAAAGAGCCACCTCAAAAGAGGCCGAGGGTTTTCCTGCTCTGTGAGTATAAAGATAGGCATTTAGGGGGCAGTTTAACACTGTGCTCGGATGCAGAATAGCAGAAGAAGGTTTTCCCCTGCGACCTATGACTTACTCACCCATGGGTACTTGGGCTAGTTAACAGTACCAGGCATGAGTACTACTCAGGGAAAGGCCTTAAATCCAGTAAGTAGTTAGCTGTCCCCACAGCATTCATGTCAGTGTTGTTCCAATGGGCATATCTTGCCGGGCTCGTTTTTGTGCTGGCTCACAGGGCTCACAGCTGTAAGCTGGTGATGACTTCTCCAGAAATAGCATTCCTAGCATCTTCAGGTGCTATAAAAGTTAGTGGGGATTGAGGAGGTGGTCAGCTATACGGTGTTTTCAGCAACAAGGTCTTAACCATCAAGTTCTGGAGTGTAACCAAGAGTAATTAACAATAGACTATATTTTTGGGGTTCGTCTATGGGACCCAGCTTAACAACAGATTGAACCCATACCTTGCACTGGGCTTTTTGTTTGATAACCTCTTATGCCCTAGTATAGGGTAAGTTCATTTAAGCTCAGTTTTTACGTATATGTATTTTAGGAGCCTCTATAAAATAGATTCTCACATGGGTCTAAGCTTCTGCTTTACCTTGCCCTCCTACCTCCTATCCTACATTAATTCCTAAACGATCATTTTGTCTTGTTTGTACTCACTTTTTACAATTATTGAAACACCATAATCCACAAATTTTTAGGAGGGGGAGTGATGATACATGGGGCTTAGTAAAAATGGTTTGTTATGGCAGTTTTCACCATAAATGGGTTGGCTTATTTTGTATGTGTTTTTCTATTTGCTTGGTGACTATTAGACTTTCCATGTTCCCGAATCATTCATGTTAAGATATATTTTCATGGCTATATTTATGGATTGTAAAAGGCATTTTAGCTCTTTATTTGAAAATAGTTTAATGTAAATGTGTTTGAGTATGTTTCCAAGTATCTTACTCTTTTGCAACTGTACATGCAGTTGTTTGGTGGTCTTTTGTTGACGCTTAATCTTCAGTGTCTCTAGTTTGGGTGCTAAGAAAGGGAAAGCTGTTGTACTTTGTTTCCATAATTACTGGAGTACTGAAGTTAGTGGACTCTTCCAAACGCTTTTACTTACTAATGTTACATTTGTTCTGAGCTCTTAATCAGCCAGTTCTTCTAGTGTTTTATCCCATAGCACCCAAAAAAGCTAATGTTTATCATCAGTAAATAAAATAATTTTGATTTTAATTTTTTTCTTTAACTTTCAGGGCGTACATGTTTAATAACCTTGACAGTTTTGCATGTGATGCTATTACTCATTGGCTAGTTGACTTAGCCAAAGAAGAGTTGAGAAGAAATGTAATGCAACCACTGAGAATACTTCTAGTTTGCTAGAATGTACAAGAGGAATGGATACAATAAATTTCATAGATGTTGCCTATTATGCTAAAATTGTCTTTAAGGTGTGTGAGGAATGTTAACAAAGCAAGAAGAAAGGGATTTGTCTGAAGTGGTATTCTCAATGCAAATAAGTCTCTTGAAAATATTTCAGAACCAGGAAAATTCCCTACATTGAATGTTCTCTTTTCTAAAAAGTGTTGGAAAGTATAGACATTTTTCATGCTTAGATTGGTGGTATGGGGTAAAGAAAAATCATGATTTCTTTTGCTAGATGTATCATGTTATTCTAGCTTATAATGAAAATAGGAAGCTAAAAATATCAATTAGATTTCAAAAGTAGAACAAAGACCTCAAACTAATTTTTCTTTCTTCTAAACAAAACTGCCACAGAAATGGAACATTTTAATTTGGCCCTTGACCTGAAGGGGTTTTCATTTCTACTTTTCATGAAAATGAGTGGGCAAGATGTTGTAAAGGAAGAGCATGCTAACAAACCAGTGATGGGATGGGAAAGCAGCTCACTTGGTGAAGCTGACAAGCTTGCCTAACACGCGTGCATCCCGAGCTTCCTTCCTCCCAGTACTTGTGAGGTGAAGCCTGAGAATCAGAACCTCAAGGTCATTCTCTGTTACCTGGTAAGGTTCAGGCCAGTCTGTGACACCTGAGACTCCATCTCAACAAACAGACATGGTAAGGTAGATGATAGATAGATGATAGGTGATAGAGAGATAGATGATAGATAGACAGACAGGCAGATAGATAGATGATAGATAGATAGATAGATAGATAGATAGATAGATAGATAGATAGGTGATAGAGAGAAGATGATAGGTGATAGAGAGATAGATGATAGATAGACAGACAGGCAGATAGATAGATGATAGATAGATAGATAGATAGATAGATAGATAGATAGGTGATAGAGAGATAGATGATAGACAGACAGGTTGATAGATAGACAGATAGGTAGATAGACAGATACATAGATAGATAGGTAGATAAAAAATGAAGAATGTTGAGCCTTCTGACTTGGTGGCAAAGGAAGAGGATACGGTTAAAGATTAATCTCCCTTTGAACAGGGATCTGAGTCAGCAGTAGTTCATGCTTTTAAGAAGGATAAGCTAGTTTTGCTCTCAGGGAAATATTTTCTTGTTTTCTCTAGTGAAAAGGTTTTAGGGAGGGGGCTTTTTGACTGATCATTAGTGCTTCCATAACCTCTGCATATGAAAAGATTCTGTACTTCTGATGTGATATGTTTATCACCCCATTGTAAATCTTATTCTTTTGTAATATTAAGATGGATCTATATATATTTATTTATATCAGTGAATATCTTGGTTTTAAATGTATATCAAGAAGATATGTAATAAAATCATTTCCTTTAAATAGAAATAAATATACTGCTGTGTCATGTAATATTTAAATTTATTTTCTTAAATGTGACTTTTTAAATTTCTAGATAAGAGATTCTTTTCATCTCCTTAAGTAGTAAGAATGTTGTCTTTTGACTATTTCCTTGTGAATTATTTTCAGTTCCTTTGAAATTGTACTTTCTCAGGCATGTCATCTTCTAATATTTTTCTGGTATCGATTCACCAAAAGATAACTAACATGTAGGCTTTGAATATAGTCCTTACATTTTCAGTTGTATGTTTAGTGTAGACTGCTTCATAATATACATGCAATGAGGCTAACAACCATTATAAATCTGTTGCTTCATCTATTTTGTTGGTCTTGCTGTTGAAATACTTCAAAAAATTCCAAGTGCAAAAACTTTCACATGCGATTGGAGCAAACCACAGCCATCAGAATTAGTTTCTTTTTTTAAATTTAATTTTATTTATATATTTATTTATTACAATTTATTCATTTTGTATCCCTTCTGCAGCCCCCTCCCTTGTCTCCTCTCAGTCCCACCCACCCTTTTCTTCTCCCCCTATGCCCTTTTCCTAGTCTCCTGATAGAGGAGGTCCTCCTCCCCTTCTCTCTGACCCTAGCCTATCAGGTCTCATCAGGACTGGCTGCATCATCTTCCTCTGTGGCCTGGCAAGGCTGCACCCCCCAGAGGGAGGTGATCAAAGAGATGGCCACTGAGTTCACATCAGAGAAAGTCCCTGATCCCCTTACTAGGGAACCTACTGGGTGACTGAGAAGCCAATGAGCTTGCTTTGAACAGGGTGTCTAGGTCCTCTCCATGCATGATCCTTAGTTGGAGCATCGGTCTCTGCAGGCCCAGGGTTTTTGGTTCTCTTGTTCTCCTTGTGGAGTTCCTGTCCCTTCCAGGTCTTTCTATCTCCCTTTTCTTCTATAAGATTCCCTGCACTCTGCCCAAAGTTTGGCTATGAGACTCAGTATCTTCTATACCCTGATGGGTAGAGTCTTTCAGAGGTCCTCTGTGAAAGGTGCCTGTCTAGTTTCTAGTGGTAGGACATTCTTTAAGCTCTCCTAAGAGTTATGAAAATAAGCTCATGTCCGCTTACATCCACGTGTGTTAGGTTTGCCTGATTTCCCAGAGCCACAGAAATAACAGTGCTTCAGTTATTCCGAAGCTTATCAGAACACCCACATTCGTATGTTACCTTACTCTGGTGCTGAGGTTACCAAGATGTAATGGTTGTCTTCAATCATTTGTAGTTCCACAGAGAAGGACTGTGTGCTCAACAGAGACTAAGAATATAGACTTCCCTTCCACCATGCACCTGTGCAGGACAGAGTGGGTACTTAAGCTGTAGGTTTGAAATGGACGGGTGATGGGGAGGTAGGGATTTTAAGGTCAGATTCTGAGAGAGGACATACAGTAAGCTCATCACGGCTGGGCTGAAGCTGCCGACACAGTATGACGGTTGCAGAAGCAGAGTACAGTGTACTGTGTTTACTTTAGGAGGAGAGAGATTCAAGTCCAGAGTTTTCAGTTCCACCTGGTCAAGTTGAAAGTTAGTGAGGGGTAGTTTTACAATCACAAATATTTCAGATGTTGAGAAACACTGAACTTTGACAATATACTTTTAGATTTATCTGAGGCACAATCTCACTTTCAAAGTCATGATCTCCCTGCTTCAGCCCCCTGAATGCTAGGATTACAGCCATTTGGTACTAGGTCTGGCTTCAGCCATCATATTTGAATACCCGTGAACAAAATGTCTAAAATTGGACATGATTATGTTGAAACAAGTCACATTCTTCTAAAACTCATTAACAATTTTATATGAGCACTGTGAGACCAAGTTCAACATGGCCTTGTTGAACTTATGGTGTAAGGATACCATAAACAGTACAATCCATTCTCTTATTTTTATTCTGTAACTTGCCTTAGAACTACTATGTGTCACCATTGTGAATGAACAGTATGTTATAAAGATGCTCATATTTCTATTAACTGTGTACTTAATTTCTCCCCCTCAAGGACTTCTTGCTGTTCTTATAGTGATTGATAGCATATTTATAGTCCAAGCTCTTTGGACCATTTTTAAATGAGAGAAGCTTCCGAGGATAGAAGAAGAGGGATGTCCCAGTGTAAGAAGAGAGCAAGAATTCATTCTCCATCTTTTCAACCTGTTTGGGTGGGTGCTCAACGGACTCGATGCTGGCTGCTCACGTTGTGAGGTTGATCTTTATTTACACTGCTGACTCGGATGTTTATGTGGTCTGGAAACATCCCAAGACTCACCCAGAAATAATGTTTCACTAGCTATCTGGGAAATCCTTTTGTGAGTACAAGTTGGCACAAACACACACACAGCTGCCTTGAAAAGTAGTTAAAATGAGGACCTCAAGAATCTTATTTCTAAATGCCTTTTATCAGCGAACAAAATTAGGGTTCAGATAGAGCTGATTCTATAAATGAGTACGAACATGAGAGATCTTCCAAGTTAAGGTTTTCAGAAAGTAAGTACTTAACAGCAGACGTGTGTCCCAGCATGCACAAGCTCCCACCGGTCAACCTGAGGTAGACACTTCCAGCCAACACAATAGAATAGATTAAACTTGGAGTTACAGAATAGTTTGAGTCTATATAAATGAACAAGTAAAGAGAAGAACTCTCAGCAGAATTCTAGCAAACGCATGGAGGAGTTATATGTTTAGAAAAGTAAGCATGGACAGAAGCACAGTGATGATTTCAGGCAAGGATCATCAGTGGATGCCAGATGCACCAGGGAAGAAGGTAAGGAGGCTTCAGATCATTGTGCAGTTCTAAATTTTCTATCCCGTGCTTAGCTCTCACAGGACACTTAAGAACTTTGTTATATAAAAAGTTAGTGACCACATGTCACTAACAGTGAAAGAGAGAACAGTCTTTTGAATAGGGCAAATAACTCAACATCATTTCTATAGTACTGTAAAAAAATTTGTAAGTGAAAAAATATACAAATTACAGATTTGTATGAGGAAGCTTCAGGGGAAAAAAAAGCAACTTGGGGACAGTCTGCAAAATAGTGGAACTGCATTTTTCCAATGTGATAGGCTCATGTTAATTGAGCAGAAGGGGTAAAATAAGGTAATCATTAGAAGAATAGGAGTTTAGGAATGTGACCCAGACCAGCCATGCCAGCATTCTGGACAGAGTCCAGAGTTGGGGGGACAGGGATGGAAAAGAAATAGTGAAAGAGAAGCTGGAATTAGAGCTGCTGAGCCAGGCCAGCACGTTTGTCAGTGGCATGGCTCTTTATGCCCCTCAAATGGGGAAGCAGGAGACAAATCAGTAAGGAGCATCAGCAGAAAGACAGGAACTATGCTATCTTAAGTTCGCCTTCAGTGAGATACATTCTGGTCAGCAAATGAAGCATTTGACACGAAATAGGAAGTGCTAATTTCCAGACTCCTGGCCCCCCTTCTTCTCTTCCCAGACCCTGGGTCTACAGCTGGCCTTGTCTGGTATGACTTCGGCTGGAAGAGGGACAACATGCCCACATTCATCGGGGCTCTGGGCAGGATCCAGTCCAGCCTAACCCTTGCTTGTCCAGCACGTGTGAAGAAGCCCTTGGTTTAATTCTCCGTGCCACATGAATTGGGTGCAGTGGCACATACACTCAGGAGGTAGAGGCAGGTGGATGAGAAGTCTAAGGTCATCAGTTACATAGTTTGAGGCAAGGCTGGGTACGTGAGAACATTTTCTTTCTTTTTTAAATGAAAATAAATGGTAAAGATGAGGCAGAAATGAACAAATCGTATAATTCAAAAGATAGATTGGGAAGGGGCATCTACTAAAATTCAGACACAATGGAGCCAAAATCATCAGTATCAGTGATATAATAGAAAACACCACTCGCTGCAAAGCCTAGCACACAGACAATGTGCATAACAACATTGTATTCTGTGCACAGATTCATGAGAAGGTACAAATTATTCATCCTGCCCAATAATCAGTACAAAACTTGGATAGCCCTGCATTAACTTGGTAGATGTTATTTTAGCTTGTGGGTGTTTTTGTTTGTTTGTCTGTTTTTTTTTTTTTTTTTTTTTTTGAGATAGGTTCTCACTTTTGTAGCTCAGGCTGGCCTGGTAGTCACTGTGTAGTCAAGGCTGGCCTTAAACTCTCTAAGTAACCTTGATTCTACTACCCAAGACCTAGGGTAATAGGTCGAAGCTACCATGCTTAGCAGGAATCAAAATTTTATTTAAATCTTGTTCAGAAAAACAAAATGCCCCAAAGCTTGGCTTTTATATTCTAATGTTTATAGAAGAAATGACATCAGCTCTTGCAAACTCAGAAACTGTATCCAAACTCAGAGAGAGGGAGGGAGGGAGGGAGAGAGAGGAGAGAAGACAGATGAAGACAGAGAGAGGATGTGGCCTGCTGAAGCAGATCCAGCCCAGACAGGACGAATATTGGCAAGTAACTGGGGGAGTGCGGCTGGGAGGTAGCCAGACTAGCTTCCTGGAAAATTAGTATAAATTCTACCTGTTGTGTGTTGACCTAGGCTCCTGTGGGCATGGTCCCAGGAGTGGTAGAGTCAGATTACACAGTAGGTCTGTTTAGGTTTTTTTTTTTTTGTTTGTTTGTTTGCTTGTTTTTGTTGCAGAAACTACTGATTTCTGTGGCTGCAACCAGCAAATATTCCCAGGAGCAGTCTACCAGGCATCCATCTTCCCCAACATCCCGTTAGCTTTTGTTCTCTGATTAATGCCAGTCATCCTGACTGCAGCTATGCAGGATGTCAGTGTAGTATTGATCTGTATTTCCCTGATGACTGAGGAGTTTGCCCCTTTCCTTGAGTTCGTTGTGGGGTGGACTTGACAGGTCCCGTGGCTCACTGTCCACCTAGGCTGGCCAAACCAGCTGACCTAACACTAAAGTAGAGAAGAACGGAGGAAGACCTGCTGTCGTCAGCCTCTGGCCATCACACACTCACACGTGCAAGGATGCCTATGTGCACAATGCATAAAGGACGC